GGAATTGGGATGACAGTTTGTTTCAATGAAGCCTCCAAGCAGATTGAATTTCTAATAGCCTAAGTTGGGCTTGAAATTAAAGCGGGAAAGTGAAAGATTTAGTGATGACCCCACTACCTGTGCCCACTCTGGTTTTATCTCTTGTCTCTAGACTGATGTTTCGGTGCTAAAGAGTTTGAGCAGAAATGTGTTCTACTTTTTTATTTTACGAACAAATTCAGTGCTTTCTTTGAGATTTGCATGTGTGGATTTCCCTGCTGGCTGGGCTGTCATTGCAAAGACACACTCTTCTTGCTGCAGCCTGACTGACTGGCAGTGCTGACGTGTGAGGAAGAAAACCTTGATAATTCCTGTTGCTTTTGCATTCTGAGACAAAGGATGGCTTCATCCCTTATGAAGAGATCTGGAAGCAGATAAAGATTGTTAACATTGATTTAATAGATGTAGTGCAAATAATAAAGATGTAATAAAAGACAAAATGTCCAAAGCCGTAGTGATAGTTCTTTTATTTTTTTCCTCCTCTTCTTTTTGTAGCATAGGGGAGAGAGGAAATGGAAGAAACATTATCCAAGAATCCTTTTGCCATCAACCTCTCTTGAATAAAGAATGACAGGAAGAGCTGCTCTGCAGCAAATGGTGTTAGTTTCTGTGCATCAGTGTGAATTTAGATTCCAAGGCTTATTTGTAGGATTTAGCATTTTTGTAACAGCTACGCACAAAGAGGAAAGAAATCAAAAGAAGTTAGACATTTACCCACTTATGCCTGAGCAGACTTTTTTTTTCCCAGGTAGAAAAATAAATAAAGCTATGTTTAAGTCTTTATATATCCCATGCTGAGGACACCTAGGACTAAAATTTTCTGCTGGTCTCATTTCTGTTTTAATAATGGGAAGACTTCCTGTGGGGAAAATAGCACAGAGATTATAAAAGTGATGGTGTATTGAAGGAAAGTTCAGATTCTGGAATTGGTGCAAGTAAGTAGATGGTACTTGTGATGTCAGATGCTGCCTTAAAGTGGCATGTGCAGCAGATGAGGACTGAGCCTGTAACAGTTCTAATCCAAGCACCACAACTGTTTGGAACTAGGAGGAACTGCTGAAGTTTAAAATAAGTAAAAGACTTATGTGGGGGGTCTTAACCCCCCATGTAGGGAACAGATAGCAGGTGTGCTAGTAATGTGTGTAATCTGCTAGTGCATATTAAAGAGAAAATAGGAGAGAAGTCACTGCTTCCTGTCCTCAGCCTGTTTCATACCTGTGCCCATGGATATCTTCTCTCTCTGTTGTTACAGTTTCAGAGTCCAGAAAATGACTCGCTGCTCCCTGGAGTCCTTAGAAGGCTGTTTCCTCTATAGATCATGCTATTAAGGTATGAGGGTTCCTGCTACCCTTCCTTGCTTACACAACGCTGAATCAGTGGAAAAGCAATTAGAAGATACTGTGTCACTCTTCAGTCTCCATATTTTTTTTCTATCAAGAAATTCTGCACAGGGAGAAGTTTCACAGAGCTGGCCTTCCAAGGTGCAGTTCAGAATTTGTTTTGCAGGCACTCACTAACCTGAGTTAGGCCATTACTCCAGAGCTGAAAGAGTTCAGGTCTCCCCCCTCCCCCCAGGCCCTGAATTAGGGGGGCATCCTGGAGTGTTCCCTGGCATCTGCCCCATTGTTCCTCAGAAACAGGCCAAGTGCACCCCATGGTGCAGCCCTCTTCCCTCTCCATTTTTTTCAGATACTGAGAAGAGTTTTGTGAATCATTAAGGGTTAGGGCTCTAGAGCTCTTGTACTTTCTTGCCTTCCATCGCCTCTATTTTTGGTGATCTCCCTGTGAACCACTGTTAGTACTTGCTTCATCTGCTTCTTTTAGGCAGTGGTTTGGTGATGCTGAGCTCCAGCAAAACCACAGTTTTCTACTGTGCTGCTCCTGTTCCAACCTGTGTTGCCTGACCATGCACCTGGGCTTCCCTTTGCTGCTGTGCAGAATCTGCTGTGCATTGTTCACTGGATCACTGATCTGGCTTCATGAAAAACTGGGAGATGGGGCATGTTTCTTGGGTTTGTCTTGTTTTGAAGTGTGGCCCGTTCATGATCCTGCCCACAGCCCCTTGTGACAAGCTGTGACTCAGCTGAGCTGTGTGGGAATTCCAGGGGGATGACTGTCTCAGCCTTGAGCTGAGAGTGTTTGACAAAGCTGCTCTTTCCTCCAACCAGCATCAACCAGCAGTGCTGGAAAACTTACCTGAAACTCTGGGTTTGTTCACAGCTACCTCTGCACCACTTCAGAGTGTCAGGGGCACCTGGCAGCAATAGAAGCAGAGTCTCTCTTCAGGCTCAGAAGGTGGCAGAATGTTTTTTTGTTTGGTTGGTTGGTTTTTTTGTTTGTTTGGTTGTTTTTTTCAGGTTTGATAAATTTAACTATAGGCCTAGAATTTCAGTCTGGGTTTCTAAATTTTCACCTAACTTTTTAGAAAATGGTGCTTTTAGGCCTGCGTGTCTTTTGTTTTACAGGTGTCTGTGTATCTGAGGTGTCTTAAAAGTTATAGTTAGGGCTTCCAGTTCTAGACATAAAGAAAAGATTTATTTTATTTGTAAGGCTCAGAAGGAGAAATGCAAAGGTAACAGTTGGTTGATACATCAGATGTTGCTTGGTACATGTATCTGCTCTTTATTTTTGCATTTCCTTTCCTCTGCTTCTCCAGGTGTCATCTTGACATGAGTACTTTCAAGCTTGGCACTAAAGAGTACAAGAAGCTTGCTTGTAGGGGTAGAAAAAAGAAACTCCATCATCCTTGTGTGCATCTAAATGTCTTGTAAAAGCTCTTTAGAGGGTGAGAATTCAATTCTGTGAAACAAGAATTGGTACCATAAGCACTTGGTACAAACACGAAAAACAACATCTCTGCACGCCATGCAAGCACAAGATACACAGGCTGACATTAGTTAAGAAAGTGGTTACGTCTCATTAGTAGCACAGGATAGGTGAGAAGATTTTTGAAGTGTCCTGCTCAGAAGTGGCATTAATTCAGTAATATCCAAGCAGTAAACCCTGTAATGCTTTTCTAAACGGCCTGGTTAGCGCCTGGGGTGTTTGGGATTTATTGTTGCACATGTAATTTAGTGAACTTTTAAAGAGACCTCTAGGCAACGGCCCAGACTCGGAAAGGCAGAGGGGAAAATGCTGATGGACAGTTCTACTGAACTGGAACACAGTGGCTGTGAAGGAAAAGCTGCTGAATGGGCTGATGGCTGAAAGAAGTAAAGCAACTGCACTTGGACTTGCTAATGGGCTTTGTGTCTAAATTTGAGCCATCTCTTTCTCTAGGAAGTTATTTGTGTTGGGAATCAGGCCATAGCAGGGCTGGAGCAGGAAGGAAGAGGCGGATAGTTAGTGATCTCAAAAGGGTGTGCTCTGGGAGCAGAATGACAGCTGTGGAAGAAGTAGGTTGACTGCAAGGGCATTGAACTCAGCAAGAAAGCTTCAGCTTTTTGCACTGCTGAAAATCTGGTGTCGTGCTGGAACATTTCATAATGTGTTACAGGCCTTTCCCACCATGTTAATGTGTCTGCTTTGCCAAAAGGGGTCTTGCAGCAGCAAAGAAGTGCAAACTTTTTGTCCCAGCGATGCAGATTGTCTGTATTGGAGTCAATAAAGAAACCAGAATTTGCTACTTCCTTCCTGTGACCTTTAAATCATGTGTTTCCCTGCATTGAGAGGTGCCTGTGACCCATTTGTGCCTTAGCTTGGCAAATGGATGGAAAAGCAATCTCATTTTCCTAGGCTGATTCATAGGTCGCTAATGACAGGTTAGAAGTTAATACTTGTTTTCAGCAGTTATTGTGCAGTTGGGTTTTGACAGGGACCTGGCAGCAAACATGAGTGAGAAGAGCTTCAGGCTAAGGCTGGGAGTGTGGCAGCGATTCCTTTTTGTTTGCCTGTTAGAAAGCAGTCCCCCCCAGTTGTTGTAGACCTTTTCTAAGGCAAATAAATCAGAGGTGATTGTTCTTTGCTTGTGTTTTATTCTGTTCCAGTGCATTTAACAACACTTTATATAGCATCAATTCTGTTGCCGCTCCGTCATTACAATGATTATTACTATAGGACATAAAGTATCAAACTCAGATCACAGGCATATTGTGTAAGAACCGTATAAATGTGCAGTAAGGAGAGAGTCTCTGTCACAAAGTGTTAGTGGTGTCTAGAGAGAGGAGGCAGAGAAGAACGAGGTGTGACTCAGCAATGTGCCCCCATTGCACAAAAGCTCAGTGGCAGAGTCTGATGCAGAGCAGTTCTTCAAATGGGTAGGGAAACATTTCTTGTGTACAAGGTTGCAGGATCAGGAAAGATGAGCTCTTACCTCCCTTCTAGAGGTTAGCACCTTTAAAATAAACTGGCCTTGCATGTGACAGAGAAAAAAGTTCAAGCTTCTAGATAGTCAGGGGTCTCTCTGTCCCTGATGGGGTCAGAAATTTGTGTAGTGTTTAAGAAGCATGTTCAGAGTCAGTGTGAAAGTCCTCCTTGTTTTAAATCTCACTGAACTTTAAGGATTCGCATTGTTACCTACAAGCCTTTTCTCCCAGCAGATGAGGGGCAGGTGGCAGAGTTATTGTCTTTAGAAGGGAGATTCTCTTCTGTTTGCAAGTACAGAAAACAAGTAGGAAAAAAATCAGTTTCCTTTTCAGAGGTGGGTGAGATAGGTCTGTCTCCACCTCAGGTTCAAAATCTTTCCTCACTGCCACTTGAGACTCTTCCAGCTCCAAGGAAGGAAGGGTTGTTTCTGTAGATTGTTTCCAGGAGACCTGGAAGGGTTGTTTCTGTATTCCTCAGCTGAGGAAGTTGGAGAGCCCAGAGATTGTCAGAGTCTTGTGGTGGATTGGCATCCTATGACTGGAGAGAGTGCTGAGAGTAGCCTTTACCACTGCCTTTGAGCTCAGATGCAGGTAGGTGTGAATTTAAAGCAGATTGATGTTGTTTCACTGACACTGCTCTCTCCTGTAACTTTACAGCTCCTGTATGACAACCCAAAAGCCCGTCAGGAAGTAGAGTATCATTGGCGAGCATCAGGGTGTCCCCACATTGTCCATGTCCTGGATGTTTATGAGAACATACATCATGGGAAGAGATGCCTCCTCATTGTCATGGAATGGTATGGACCAGCAGCAGCCCCCCACCAGGCATTGCTCTTTGAGGGGGTGGAGGGAGTGGGACAACATGTTGGCTTAGCTGGGACTTCGATGAGCTTTCTTAGCAGCACCACTTTGCTTTGCACAGCAAACCTTCTGTAGGCCTGGTAGGTAACTGTGTAGCTGCTCCAGCCATCTTGTATGGTGGGAAAATGAGCAACCTTAACCAGAAAATAAATTTTCCTTGTACTCCATGACAGTTGTCCTTAATAAAGCATTGACTAATTAATAAAGTCCTGAAAGACCTGTAACGACAAGTAAGATGTGCTTTGGGATTGGCATCCAACTTCAGATGTAAATCCAATGATCTGACATGATCCTTTTTGCTACTATTTTGTCTCTAACTTTTCCTATTCCATCAAGCTTGTTGTTACCTACAAGCCTTTTCTCCCAGCAGATGAGGGGCAGGTGGCAGAGTTATTGTCGTTAGAAGGGAGATTCTCTTCTGTTTGCAAGTACAGAAAACAAGTAACGACAAGTAAGAAGTGCTTTGGGATTGGCTTCCAACTTCAGATGTAAATCCAATGATCTGACATGATCCTTTTTGCTACTATTTTGTCTCTAACTTTTCCTATTCCATCCTTGATCTGTAATACCATAGTTGTTGTCTTCTTCACTGGGGACAAATGGATAATCCTTTTCAGTAGCTTTGCTTCCTTCTTTCTTTTTTCTTCATCTCCAGCCCTTACATAAAACACAATTCCTGTCAGCCTCCCAGTGCCAGCATGTCTGACTTCCCAGCTGTGTGTCCCTTGTGACAGGGCACATTAAACTGAAAGCATCAAAACTCCCTGGTCCTGTTTTGTTTTCTATTTATTTCATATCAGAACAGCTTTGCGCGTTGATTCAAATGAGTGGGATGTTTAGGAAGCATTGGAATAAGAGGGCAACCTATAATCTCTTTTAATCCATTCCTGTCATGGTTCTGTGTGATTATATGGATGCAAAGTCAGGTGTTGATTTGACCTTTTCTGCTCATATGCAGTGGGGATTTGTGTGTTCTTTGTTTCAGCATGGAGGGAGGAGAGCTGTTTAGCAGGATCCAGGAGAGAGGAGATCAAGCTTTCACTGAGAGAGGTGAAAAACTGTGTTTAATTTTAAAGTTTGTGAAAGATGGCTACTTCCTTTCTCCCTCCTCTTGCTTAATTTCCTCACAGGAATTTTTCTTCCCATTTGATTTTAGTTCGTAGTTTAAAATTTTATTTTTGTTTCTATTTTCTGTTAAACAGTTGTTTTTAAAAGTTCCTGAAAATCAGGAACTACCAGAATTGGCCAGGTTTAGGGACAATGTGGGATGTTTAGAGGAAAATTCTTCATACAAATACGTTCTGAGCCACCACAGCCTTTGTTACTTTACTGCCTGGTCTCCTGCCAGACCAGCTCTAACATGATCAATGCAGCCCCTACTGTGATTTCTTTTCTGGCTGTCCCTCAAATGGCATCACAGTGCCCAGCTATACTGTTAGGTGATGAATATAATGAGCAAATCACATCTGATGAAACATCTCTTATTCAAAGGTTTAGAGTACTGCTTGAAAGGTAGCGTTATTAGCCACAGTGTAAACAAGCCTGCTCATCTATAGCAGGGACTCTGTGCAAGTTTAAAGACCTGCTAGGAGTCAAGGACAGAGCTTGGGATGGAATAGCCTTGCCATTTTTATTGTGTTTGCTGTTTAGTGCTTGCAGAGTGCCCCGGGCCTGCTCGGCGCTGGTTCTCCCTGCCCGCTCACAACCGGCGAGAGCTTCTTTCTGCTCAGGAGTAAAAACGTTAGTGCTTGTAGCAAGCATAGTGACAAAATTATTAGAAGAATTAAAATTTACACCTGAGCTTGTAAATGACTCTGACTGTTTCGCAGATCTGTTTTAGAGGCCAGGCTTTTTTTAATCCTGTGTTTTCTGGCCTGCAATGAATCCTTTAAGTGGTATGAGAGACTTGTGTAGAGAAAATGAGCATTTTCAGGAATGTTTGTTCATCTCTAAAATACAAGATTCCAGGGGTGAAACTGGCTCTGTGATCATTAGTGACTTGCCTGAGATTGTGTCATTTCAATCTCAAGCCACGTGAATAAGGACTCCAGGTTACAGTACAAGAATTTCTGCAAGATGGAGGAGCAGGTTGAAGTTGCTAATTGTTTCCCTGTCAGTGGAGATGTAATATAATGCTCACTCAGCACAGTGGGAGACTCACTCACCCCTCCTCTCAAGCCCCCATGTAACTGAAATCTTCCAGACTTCAAGAGTACTGCTGTTGCAAGGCAGCTCACCAACCACTAGAATTTCCCACTGGGGTTATGTTAAATTTTAGAAACATATTATTTCATAGGTGGCAGTTTGGGCTTTGCAGAATAGAGCTGTTGATTTTATTTCTCCTGAGGAAAAACTTCTAATCACAGTGAGGAATGAAAATGTGACCTATCCTAAAATTACTATATTGTTATGTTGCTGTATTTTTAGAAAATCTGTTAGATCCTCCTATTGCCCCTGAACTAGAAGCTGAAAGTTAAATTTTTGTCTCAAACAACCAAGGATACATCCTGGACAAAAAAAAAGGATATGTCCTGGTTGGGCCTTCTTTCTCCACAGTCTTGCTGCTTGTGTACGTGCTCTGCTCCTGCTTTTCTGGTGAGCAAATTAAAATGCAGGTTTAGGGGCTTGTCAGAACCAGAAGTCTCAGCGGTTGGGTTGCAGCGCTTGCTCGGGAGGAGGGCTGAGCAGCCGGGGAGCTGGGGGGCACGGTTCCCTGCAAAACCAAAACACAGCTGCTAGGGCTAATTTTAGGTTTTCTAGTCTTGATGTTGCCCCTGTATTCCAGCAAGCTTTTAGGAAGTTGTAAGCATTCCTAAGCTTGTCCCCACGTTACAGTGGGAATGTTAATGTGACCTTTCTCTAAAATTGTCTTTGTAGAGGCCTCTGAAATAATGAGAGACATCGGAACAGCCATCCAGTATCTGCATTCGATGAACATTGCCCATAGAGATGTCAAGGTGAGGCCTGAAGGTGTGTGGGCAGGGAGAAAAGCTTGTAAGGCAGACAAATAAATGAGCACTGGTGGCTTAAATAGAGCTAGGAGTACAGTCAGATGGTCAAAACTTTCCTATTCCTCTGTCAATTCAAATGGCTTAATAAGTCTTAAATCCTGTTTTCTTCCAAGCTCTTCCTTCTTTTGTATATCCCTAAACACTAGCATGGGAGATGACATAGCTTCCTTAAGACCGAGGAACTGGAAAACAAGTTCAAGGAATTGCAAATTCTGGAGATGTGCCATTGTCCCTGTTCTTGTGCAGAAGAGCTTGTACTTCCCTCTGTGCCACTTCTGGTTCTGGAGAGCTTTTATGCAGTGTGGAGCAGGAGTATAATTGACTCTACTTTCAAGAGACAAAGGGAGGAGAGTGGGAAGGGGCCTCTGTGTGTCTGAGTTGATTCTGATGGAGTTATATCAGTTGCTCATAGAGAGTTTGGCTGATGAGTTCTCTTGCCTTCCAGGTCAGCTACCTGCATGTGGTACAGAGGGCTGTCAGATTGACTGGTGTTGATCAGACAGAACAATCCTAGTTAGTGCAATGAACTAGAGGGAGGTTCAGGAAGCCAGACTTGACACCCTGATGAGAGGGCTGTGGCTTGCTCTTCTGAATACTATGTTAAGAAGGGTATTGATCCTTAGTCTGAGCAAAGCCACTGTGTGTTCTGAGAGAATTTTCTGTGTGTTATGGTGAGCATGTGAGACCCAGGTATTTTTGCTGATCCAGGCAAGTGGGAATGGTTTGGCCTTTCAGCCTCATTAGAGACATCTCTTCATTGTCCAGTTTATCCTTTCTCTTGGTGGTCTTTCAGCCTGAAAACTTGCTGTACACGTCTAAAGAGAAGGATACTGTACTCAAACTCACAGACTTTGGTTTTGCCAAAGAAACCACTGTACAAAATGCTCTGCAGACCCCCTGTTACACTCCTTATTATGTGGGTAAGTTACCCAAGATACATTTCTTTTGTGTTTCAGTCTCCCATCCCTTCCCTTATAGTGGATCTGTGGACTGTAGGAATGGATGGGAAATCTTCTACTGTGGGTGTAATGCAAAGAGGCAGCCTTCAGAATTTAGACTGGGATCCAACCCAAACCTACTCTGGTCCTGGTACAGTTCAGTGCTCTTGCTTTCTTCCTTGGCTGCAGAGGAAACAACCTTAACAGGGGACACAAATGAGGATCAAGGAGAGAGAATATGTTGCTTCTGATTACACTTGAAGTAATCCTGATGTTTCCTGTGAATGATGCAATAAAAGCCATAATCTGAATTCAGCTTCATGGTTATTTGGGTGTTCCCTGGCAAAAATTTCCTGTAGCAATAAATAAGAACAGGGAGAGTATTGCCTCAGCTTAAAGCTGTCAAGTGGAGGAATTAGTAAAAATACCAATGTGACTTAATGACAGCTGAATTTTTGCCTGTGTTTTGTTCAAAGACAGAGCACTGTGTAATGAATGCCACTGTAGACTGTCCTTTATACACTCATTTCAGAGTACATCCCTTTTGGTCTTTAGCAGTCATTCACCATATGGTGTGACTGAGGCAGTCCTTGGAATTTCTTTAGGGGAAAATGGGCTTATTTTTTTGGAAGAGTTAGTTCTCTTATGCAATGTAAGTTTTTGTAGGGTTTTTTTGTGTTGAAAGATACTGTTACTCATCATTAGCAGATAATTACGATAGCAATACTATTTTCTGATTCTTCTATATTTTTACAAGCTGGAATTAGTGATAAAATGTTAAGGAATTTATGCACGTGTGGTTTTATGCCTTTATATTTGTATATAAACAAGCTGACGTTACCCTTCTCAACACCTTTTTATAAACCAGCATGATTGCTCACATGTTTAGAGAATTTTCCTTACAAAATTAAGCTTCCTGGCAGTTCACCTCCCCCAGGGGTAAAAAAAAAAAAAAAGTAAAAATCCCCGCTGAATGTATCTTTCTATAATTTTGTTACTTAGTAAAAAACTATAATGTTTTGGGGGCTTTGGGAAAAATACAATGCTCTGTATTTGCTGGAGGTAAACACACTCCACCTAAGCATTGTTCAAAATTTTATCGCAGCTCAAATAGGTCCTTACTGTTCTGATTTCTGGAACATATGCTCCTGCCTCTTTCAGTGCAGTGTCTCCCTGTACACATTTAGCTATCACTCCTTCTGCTTTTCTTTAATCTTAGTACTCTCTTGAGCAGAGAGACACTAAGGTGAAGAGTCGGGCATTTTGCCAGCTCTCTTCCTCCTTCTTAAAGCTACATAAGATGGGTTTAGGAACTTTCAGTAGAAAATAGTACCCAGTTCCTGCGGTGAGTTGCATTTTTTTAATGCCTCTGATTGTTTGTTGTTGAAGCATGCTGCTACTTATAAGGTGAGGGAGATAAATGGAAATATCTGGTATTCTGCTAATTTCCCATGTTAATCTTTTTCAGCCCCAGAAGTCCTTGGTCCTGAGAAGTATGACAAATCATGCGATATGTGGTCATTGGGTGTCATCACCTATATTCTGTAAGTATTTGGAAAGAGGCTTGATGAACAGAAAAGGGATACTTCTCATTAAATCTGTGCTTACAAGTAATTTAGTCACTAGGATCATGCATCCTGCAGAACAATATAAGCTTGTATGGGACTTCTTAAGAGATGAAAGGACTTTCCTAGTAATGAGAGTTCTTTCGTCCACTCTTACAGCCTGTGTGGGTTCCCTCCATTCTACTCCAACACTGGTCAAGCCATTTCTCCAGGGATGAAAAGAAGAATTCGGATGGGGCAATATGGGTTTCCCAATCCAGAGTGGGCTGAAGTATCAGAGGAAGGTAACAATGCTCACTGCTGCTGATGGGGGGGGGTGTGTGCTGCTCCACAGGGGTGAGTGCTCACAAGAGACTATTTCTAAAAACCTGTTGTAGTTTTTCTTTCACTTTCTTTTAGAACTTAAATTAATTTTTGGTAAGGTGATACAGTGAACGACTGGGAACTGGGATACAAGCCAGCTACCTAAGTACTACAGATAGTAAATGACTAATGAAAACTTTCAGATTCCTAATGCTAGTGAATGCTGAGATTAAACCCTCTGGAAACAAAAGTCTTTAATCCTGAGAAAGGAGACTGCCAGGACAGCTGCAATGCAAGCAGAGTTGGGAGAAAGGCAAACTGTCTTAAGAACTCATTCAGTCTTTGCCCTGCTTGGTGATAGAGCCAGCAGGATGGCAACTCTTCACACTAGATTTTTGTGATGTGGGAACTCGCCAGCCACTACTTAAATTGAGGCAACAATTTATTTTGTATAAGTCATTGACCAAAAGCTGCTGCTCTTCAGCTGTGACCTGGATGGGCTCAAACCAGCATCCTGAAAGTGGAAGGTTTTGATTCTCTGTTATCCTTGAGGGTCTTATAAGCTGGAAATGTCACCTGCACATCATATTAGAGAGAGAGGTCAACAACCTCTGGGCACTTTTTTTTTTTTTTTCTGGCAAGCCTTTTACATTGCTGTTGCTAGCATCTTGTCATTGTCTGGTGTTTAGCAATAATAAATTATCGTTGGATAATGCTGTGATTTGTGGCTTTTTAACCCCTCATATGATCTCATGGCTGCATGTGCAGCACAGACTACTGAAAACTAATGTGTTTTACTTATATTTTTCTGGCTGACTATTTTGTCTGCCTTGGATCTTGTTCATATTGCAGCAGCTTTCAAAATGCTAGGGCAATTTGGTGGGACAACATGTACCTGGAAAATTTGTAGGGTTTCTCCATGCTTGCCTGAGTGAAGGTAGATGCCCTTTGCCTTTGAACCTAAGATCAGTGAGTTTTTGTGGATTCTTTTAGGCTGATAAGGCACCTTCAGCAGACTGCTGCCTTTTGCCCTCCTTTGGTTCTGTTCTTGTCATGATTTTCTTTATCTAGTCATTCCATCATTGTGTCATCTGTGAAGGCTTCCTCTAAATTCCCCTCTGGCTTTCTGTAATCATCTTAACGGGCTCTGTTTGTGGTCCTCTCCTTTTATTTCTTTGTACATTTTAGACTCCAGGTAATCTCTACTGTAAAACACCTTTGCAGCCTCTCTTGACAAATCAAAGTTTTAACTTGCACCTCTGTCAGCTTCTTACAAGCATTTAGTCATGTTGCTTTCAATGTTTCTAAAAGAGAATTCCTACTCAGAAGTTTTTCTAGGCTCCCCCAAGGAAGTTACGTGTAAGTCTTTCTAAATAATGTTCCTTGGGTGCACTGTTGCTGCTCTGTCCACCTGCATTAATGAAACTCTTGTCTAGACTCATCATCTTATATCTCAGTTACTTACTACTCTTGCTTTGGCGGATTCTATGTTCACAGAAGGCTGCTGCAAAGCCTGTTTGTGCAGTCCATTTCTTTGGCTTTGTTGTCTTTTTAGTGGCCTGTCAATTTTGAAGGAGAAGTTTATCCTTTTTTTCCCCCCCATAGTCTGTGCTAGTTTTTGTCTTCCATCATTTCTCAAAACATCAGTTTATACATTCATTCAGCCCATAATGCCAAGCTTGTCACCCTCTTTCAGACTGGAAGCTTTCTGTTCCTTTTTGTCTCTTTTTCTCAAGGCCTTGCTCTCAAAACAGTTGGTTTGGTGGTGTAGGTAGCATAGCTGGAATCCCCAAACCTTCATCTTTCCTTCTTACCTCTTGTTTTGGATGTTTTCCTGTTCTGCCTCTTTAAACTTAGTAACCTACCCCACTGTACATGGCTTCTTAACATGGTAACAGCAATAGGTAGGTGTTTGGAGTTATGCAAAATTGTCTTTCTTCACTCAGCAGGTCTTTGTGTTCTCAAGGTTATTTGAGAACACAGTAGGACTACAGCATGCCATGTTGGTCTTGTTTTTCAGCCAAGCAACTGATTCGCCATTTACTGAAGACTGACCCGACAGAGAGGATGACAGTTTCTCAGTTTATGAATCACCCTTGGATAAATGTGAGTTTTATACCTCTCTTTATGGGGTGGATTGTTACATGCAGAACTTACACCTAGCTCCACATAGCACAGCAAGAGAAGGATGGTGATTACTATAAAAAAAACTTAATTAACCTATTGTGCCCTCCACAGAGGGTCATCTGCCTGTAGAACCACAATTCTTCTTGGTGTTACCAGAGAACACACAAAGAGAAACACCCACAATAGTGTCCTTGGAAGCAAAAGCCAAATGTATCTATATCTTCTGTGAGCAGGCAGTCTCTGTTGACTCTGCAGCATATGCATGTGTTACTCTCTTTAAAAATATAAAAATAGACTGTGTGTACTTACTTCATCAGTGCAGGATTTAAAGAAAGCTATTATTAGTGGTCTTGGGCACCATTGTGCATAGCTGTGTCAGTTTGAATACAGTCCTATGCTTAGTGGGAATTCTCATCCTTGGCAGAGTTGGGAAACACATGGGGGAAGAGCAAGGGTCTCAGCTTAGTGACCTCTACGGGCCTGCCAGATAGGGTCTTACACAGAGCTATTAATGGTCCCACTTCAGGTTTCATTCTATGACTTGGTTAAATTTACTTTTCCTTAAAACATTTTTTTTTTAAAAAAAAAAAAGACTCTAATAATATATTAATTATTTCAAACAAGACACAAACATCCCGGGAGGTAGTAGGCTGAGTGTCAGGCTATCATCTCTGCTCTGTAGATATCACGCAAAACTATAGATTATACCTCTCACATTTTTGCCTAAAAGGACACCAGTCTTGTTTTTGCTGCCCAAAGGATCATCAGTCAGGAGCAGCGTTGCTTGTACTGCAGAATGCCCTTTTCTCCCATTGTGCTTTGTGTCTATGTTGATCCTCAGAGGAAGGGGCAGAAACAGAGGCATGACTAACAGTCAGCATTTCTATAATGCCTGTTTGGGGATAAGAAAGCCCTTAGAATCACACAGAGATGTAGCTGTGTAACATCCTGATGAAGCAGATAAATGTCTTCACTGAGAGTTGTGAAAGGTAAGAAATGAAGGTTGCAAAGACTCTGTATAACTGGAACAAAATCTAGACAATATTTCTAAGTCTTTTTTAACCAAATATAAATGTAGTCACTGTTCAGAATAAATACCTGCAGCTTTAAGTGCTTGAAGACCCAAGAAGGAGGTGTTCAGAAGTCAGCAGGCGATGAATTTCACAGAATGAGTGCCTAATAGCTAAGGAAGCTACCACCTACGGCGACACATGTTACTTGAAATATGCACATAATGAATTAATGAGGAGGAGATTATAGACAAGGCCTATAGACTCTGATGCATCAAAGAGCTGTGCTAGAATCCCATTCCTGGAAGAATGCCCTAGGAGCTGCAGGTTGGCACTTTCCTCTGCTGAGCCTTTTGTTCCATGAGGCAGAGGGAGGGAGAAGGAAAGGCCAAAAAACAGTGAGTGTCTGTGTTCTTCCTTTTCCAAAATCCCCAAGTGGGAACGTGTGTGGGGAGATGCCTTGCCCAAGCATCAGACGAGGGTGCTTGTCTCTCCTCTTAAAAATTGTCGGTTTAGGTGGGACATGTAATCTTCTAGTTAGCTTGTAGATAAGTTTGGGTTTTTTAATAAGTAGCAGCTTATAGCAGGTAGGAGAGCACCTTCAACACCTGCTCAGGGACACCACAAAAGCCAGTCTGCTGGTTTTCCATTTCTCTCTTCCGAGCTGTATGTGATAAAACTCTACCCTGGCCAGCTAGTGTCCTTTTCCAGAGGATGCAGAAGTCATTTCTGCTTCCCTATCTGTAACTGCTGCAGGGTTGCTGCGAGCTTGGTGGAGTATAAGCACTGCTTCCAGTGTAATACTCATTTCACAGTGACATGTTGTCACGAACCGGTGCCGAAAGTGGCTGATTGTCAGGCTGCGACATGTACAGGAATCTCTGTAGGTTTCCTGATGTGCAGCTGTGTCTGGTGGAGCATGCCTCAGCAGTAAACAGCAAGTTTGGGTAGAAAGCATAAGACTATCCAAATAAAATTATAGTTTAGGTTATGGACTGGCAAGAAACACCCCGTGATTCTTGCTGAATTTAACTAGGGAACTGTGCTTTGTGCTTTAGAAATTGCACCTTATTCTAATTTAAAGTCCTTATTGGCCTTTCATGGCAAGTGAGCATAGATCTCGGTTTTATGTGGAAGAGCATCTCAGGCGATGCGCTGTCTTCTGAACGGTGTCTTACTCTGAATGATAGCATCATTTCCTCTTTTGGGCACACTTAACTGAGACAACCAGTTCATCAGATCATTAATGTGTATGTACAAGAAAATTTCTCCTATGACACATCATAGAAGATAAAGGTCACAATAGACACTTTAAAACATTGACTAATAAATTGTGAAATGACAATTAAAATTTAAAATGTACATAAAAATATATCTAACACAGGTTATTGGCTGCACTGGAATGGAGCAGAGTGAAAGAAACTTAGCACTGCTTTCTCTCCTTTTGTTCTTTAAAGATACAGTCGTGTGGGAACTATAGTCCTTTTCTATCTCACACATGAATTTGCCTGTGGAGCGATTGGAAGAGTGAATAATGAGGGCCACTGAAGGACATTAGAGCAGGTTTTATGCCCTTCATGCATATAGAAGAGCAAACAGTCACTTCCCAAATATGATTTTGCAGAACGCTTCTTTTGGTGTTTTTCCCTTTTCTCAGAGGTCGATGGCGGTGCCACCAACGCCTCTTCATACTGCACGGGTCCTGCAAGAGGATAAAGACCACTGGGATGAAGTTAAAGTGAGTCAATCATAGTTCAAATTTCTTGATGTCAAGTCTGGTAAGAGATTAGATGGGGTGGTTTCTCTGTAGATGCTTATTTCCTTCGAGATTACAGCTACTTTGAGTACCAATGTTAAACAAAGGTAGCCTAAACAGTTTTGATTAGGACAGTAATGCATATGATAACTGTTTAAAAAATAAGAATTCTATTTGAGCTTTATCTGACAGCCTTGCAGCTGTGCCAGATATCAACAAAGATGGTTTATGATCAAAGGTATTAATGATGCTACCTGCTGAGACACTTTATGTAACCATAGAGGAGACGGGACAGTGTTGAGGGAGTCTGAAGTTCATTATAGTGAAGTGAAGAATTCGATGAAAATGTAGGGGGACAGGGTGGGAGGGTTGAAGTACGTTCTGGTTTTCTACTCTGCTGATCTTGTAAAACAACATTAAATAACCTCAGCCTTGTCTCGTTATGACATTGGGGGGCGGAGAAAAAAAAATGTATGTCTTTCCCTTAATCTAACCAGGTGCCTCACCTACTGCTTGTGCTGATGACAGTTGAATGCTTCCTTCAAAGTGAAACTATAGGGCAGACTAAAAGTTGTTTGCAAGCCATAACTCTTTCCTGCTGGCCTTTGTCAGGTTGGCATGCTTTTACAATTAATTTTGAATTTTCTGTGCTTACAATGCTTGGCATTTTGAGAATTGCAACATTCCTGCAGTGTATTTTACTGATGACTGATTTTATTTAAATTACTGATGTATAGTTTCAACTGTTGAGCTATGTAATGGTAAAATTTCATAGGACCTAGGCAACATTTACCTCCTTAGTCAAAGGCATCAAACAGACATTTTCACTTAGCCTTCTTCATTTCCATGGTTTTGAGAACTAATTATGCTTGTGCTTTTTATGGGTCCCAGAGGTATTCCCTTGGGCCACCGACATTCCCATAATATTTAATCATTTTTCCTTTCCTGAACTAAATGCCTAGATATTCGTTTACTTAAGCAGATTTTTGTTCACAACCTTAATAAAAAGTTTAGAATTTGACTGCACTTAAGCAATCATTCAAACTAAGGAAGCATGTGAATTTGAAGCACGTACTTTTAAAGACCTTTTTGTGGACTCTGTATTCAGGTTGCTGCTAATCCAGACTGGTAACGGAGCAAGGAGAGCAGTGTGCTGAGTCTGGTGTAAGAAGCCCAAGCTCAGGAGCTGGTGAAGGCCCAGAGCCAGCCTGTAAGAAGTGCTGGGCGTAGGGGTATGGTGGAATATAGGCCAACAGAGTGTGGTCCTGCATGCTCACATATGAAACAGCATGTGAATAGTTCCTACTGAATGAGTCCATGAGGAGAATGAAGCCTTTAGTGCAGTGCAGCAGAAAGGGCTCAGCTGTTTCTGGCTGTAGTGTAACAGAGGGCTCCTTTTTGTACATTCATCTCCTGGCAGTGGTGTGGAGTGGCTGTGCGCTCTCTGCCTAAAGGTTTTCAGTAAACTGCTTCCTTGGTTTCAGGAGGAGATGACCAGCGCGTTGGCTACCATGAGAGTGGACTATGATCAGGTGAAAATCAAAGACTTGAAAACCTCCAACAACCGCCTCCTGAACAAACGCCGTAAGAAACAGAAGCAGGCAGGTGCCTCTTCTGCAGCCCCCGGGTGCAATAACCAATGAGAAGAGAAGTCAAGGACCTGCGGGTGGGGGGTAAAAGTTAAAAGGAGCAATTCAAAATCAGTATGATCAACTCAGTCCATGGAGAAGCTACCCTGTGAAGAGGGAGCAGCGTGGAAGATTACATTTTGATAACTTGAATCAGAGCTTTGCTTATAAAGGCTGATGTGTATGACATGATTCTGTTGAGTATTGCTAGGCAAAGTGCAGTAATACCAGAAATGTCACAGGTTTTTGTTTTGGCTTTAACTGTGTTGGTTGGGAGGAGAGGACAAGAGGCTGTCTGAGCATACTAATGCACTGAGTCTTTAACAGCCATCTGCAAGAGCAACTTCTGCTACGGTTTTAAACTTGGGAATAGGAAAAATGCCGAGTGTTCTGCTAGGAGTGTTTTAGTAGTTTAAACACGAGTACTAAGAAAGGAGAAAAATGTCACTGCTCTTAATACGAGTAGCACAGGTGCAGTTCTATTACAGATACATCTGGACAGCATTTGATGTTAGAACTGGTAATGGTCAATATTTCCAAACTCACCTCCTGTAGTTGCAGAGTATCACCTAAACAGTTATTCCTGTTACAGGAACAAACATCCATACACTTCCATTTTCATCAAGTCTTCATGTAGTCTCCTGTGAAGTTTTGAGTTTGTCATGGACTCTTTCTTGATAACATGTAAGTTTTCTAAACTGCAATCGTTATGTTGTGTCTGTGCCACTGTCAGATCTCTCTCTTGCAGTGTTTTTAATTTAAATGGTACTTCATGTGAGGATTTCATTAGTTATAAGTACCCTGCAGAGAAAATTGTTGTTCCTCCTGGATCCACAACCTCTAGGGCTTGCAGCTGGGCATGCAACTCACAGAATCACATAATGTTAGAGGTCGGAAGGGACCTCCAGAGATCATCGAGTCCAACCCCCCGAGTCCCAGTTGCATACAGAAGACTGCTCTAGAAGAGAGGCTTCTGAAATTCGGGAAGAAGTGGCAAATACATGTTCTCTGAATGGACCCTGGTGTCTGCCAGCATCCCTTCTGGTAATTATCTCCAGATCCTGTGCCTAAGATATGCTGATCATAGCAAATTTTGGGGTGCTGGGATTGGTTTGTTTCCTAAGGTCAGGCAGGGGGAGGTTACTACTTTATTTGCAGTGTTTTCTTTGCGTTTCTGGATCCAGAGATCTTCACCACCCAAGGGAGATGACCTAGAAGTATATCCATCCATTGTTGGTTTTTTTTTTTTCCTATGCTAATTCTGGTTTTATGGGATCCTAGCCTTGGCTTGCTAATGTGTTTTACTTTGTGATCAAAATATTTCGTCTAGCTGTATTTTAGGGTTTTCTGTAGCTGAGGTGAGGCAAATATTTGTGAAAGTATTATCAGAGTCTATGATGAAAATTACGTGCTTCCAGGATGCAGGCAAAAACTACTTTATGGTAGGCACAGAGAGTACTGGTGTGTTAATGGTCTCAGAAAAATGTTAAAAGATAAAAAGGAAAACAAGGCTCAGAGAGATTCTGAATTGTCAGATCTGACTGCTGCATAGATCTTGTTACCTCCAACAAAGATCACCTTGAGGCATTGGACCTTGTCTGGGGACCCCTGTTTCCATCTTCAGAGTGTCGAGTGAGACCTCCGTTCCTCTTTGTGAACTGGCCCTAGGGTTTTATAAACTGATTTTAATAAACTGTGTTACAGCGTTTCTGCCTCCTGTCATCCCTGGGTTTGTTGAGATGTTGCAGAGTTTGTGTTGCTTTGTGAGGTACATCTGTGTGAAGGTGATTGGGAAACGGGACAAGGAAAGTGTTCAATGATGTCCACGTTCAAAGGCTACCCAACTCTGAGCATTTCTTAAAGCTTACAAGGGTTTTGTTTTAAATACCAATCTCTGCAAAGATGTATTTTTTAATTGTTTCATGTTTATCTAGATATCTCTATGGTTATAGCCTGCTTTATATTTATTTCATCATCATTACTCCTACCAATTAATCAAATACTATTTAAACAAAGAGTTGTGATGTGTTCAGGGTGCAACAGCTGTGATTAGAGCCAGATCCACATTACTGTCTGTTTATACAAAGTTTTTGAGGGTTCTATATACATCACTCCTACTTTCCCACTTCTGTGCCCCATCAGGGTGATACGTGCTCCCACTCTCCCAGTTAACAGAGCAGCCTGTGTATAATGTGGTGATGTCCCGGCTGCCTTGGGTATGGCAGTAGTGAAACTTGCAACCTGCATTTTTCCTTCTGCCTTGCCCAAAGTTTGAGCCAGAGCTCCTGGTTTCCAGCTAGTGCCTTCTTGCTTGTCAGTTCATTCTGGAGCTTGAAGACACCTATCTGTACCTGAGTGGTTTTCCATGGTGCAAAGCCCATCTGCACCATGGAAAACCACTCAGGTACAGATAGAAGAAACCATCTGGTTTCTTCTTGCAGGGTTCCAGTCTTTACCACACTGCAGTTTGGAAGCTGGAGTGATGGACTGATGCACTTGGGCACAGCACCTTCAGAATTCAGTCCCTGTGTAGAGGACAACACCATCTCGTTTAATCTGGGATAACAGTTCTTGTGTTCTACCCTGTAGTGACAACATCCAGCAATACTGTAAAGCCTGGTGGGAACCTGAGGAAGAGTCTCAAACTGGCAGACGTGGAATTGTATGCAAGAATTGTGTAGCAGTGTTTATGCTTATTTTATGGAATCATAGAGTAGTGGGTTGGAAGGGCCTTCAAGGATCACTTATTCTAACCTTTCTTGGGAAAAGGATGATCTGGATAAGATGGCCCAGCACCCCATCCAGCTGAATCTTAGAAGTGTCCAGTGTTGGGGGCTCCATCAGTTCCCTGGGGAGATTATTCCAACCGCTCATTGTTCTCATTGTGAAAAGTTTTTCTCTTGTGTCCAGTCAGAATCCCCCAAGGAGTAGCTTGTACCCATTACCCCTCATGTTTCCCATGGGAATCCTGGTAAAAAGGGGAGTCTCCACTTTCTATGTAGCCACCTTTAAGTACTGGAACATGGTGATAAGGTCTCCCCTAAGCCTTCCTTTCTCAAAAATGAGCAAACCCATATCCTCTCAGCCTTTCCTCATATGGTAGCTTCTCTGTCATCTTTGATCATCTTTTTGGCCCTTCTCTGGACCCTGTCCACCTTTTTTTTTTTTCTTTTTTTTTTTTTTTTTTGTATATTTGGGACTAAAATTGAACACAGTATTCCAAGAGTAGCCTGAGCAGCACTGAGTAGAGTGGGATAATGACTTTTTTATCTCTACAGGTTGATGCAAACCAGCATCCCATTGGCTTTCTTTGCTGTGGTAGCACACTGTTCACTCCTAATGAGTTTGTTGTCCAGCAGCACTCCCAGGTCCCTTTCCACAAAGCTGCTTTCCTGTCAGATAGATCCCAGCCTGTGCTGCACTCCTGGATTATGTTTTTCCAGGTGCAAGACCTTACACTTGTCCTCCTTGAGCTTTGCCAGGTTCTTGGTAGCTCACTCTAAAAAAAAAGGCGGCAGCTCCTGGGGAGTTGGGAAGCAGCTGATATGTGATGCATGGACCCTCAAACTGCTGTCCTGCTTGTAGCACAGCTGCCTTCTGTAGCACAATGGGAGCAGGGTGGAGGAGCTCTGCTCTTGCTTCAGCTGTGTCCGAGTGGACTGGTGCACTGAGAGCCCCGGGCACGGGCTGCAGGAGATGGTTCCTTTCCCTGTCACAGGAAGGGCCTGCCTTCTAGCTGCATTCCCACACATCATAAAGAGCTCTGGTGTGCTGCTGGTTGTTTTTGAGTCTTGCCTCTTCCCCCAGCCATACAGTATAATAGTCTTTTTAGAACCTGCTGTTCAGGATCCAAATTTATAGCCTCTTTTTAGAAAGGATAGGCTATTATAGGACTGATTATGCATTTGCATATTCATCAGCCATATAGAGGAGGTAAAGAGCTGGGAAGAAAAAGGAGAAATGAATGGTCAATAGAGAAGGCTTCAAGGAGAACACAGATTAAAAGGTCTATTTATTTTTTAGAGCAGAAGCAAAAAAAGGACTTTGCACAATTGCCCACCCCCATTCCTTTTCATAGTGATTGCTTATGGGCCGGTGCCTCCCCTTGTGTTTCTCCTCACCATACTCCTCTCCTACACACACATTCTTGATTCCTCACTCACAAGCACACTTTCTCTGATTCACACACAAGCGTGTACACAAGCACAGATACAAGTACCTCCCTTGCTTTTTCCACTGCTTCTACTACATGCTTTCTTACCTCTTTGACCACACGTGCCATATGATGAAGCTTTTTTTGACATGGTACAATTAATAACTAGCATTAATTGTAAGCTCTTGGCCTACTTCTGTGTTTTTCTATTTGTCAAACCCCAGCGTTCAGTCCTGGGATTACTTTTCTCTCTTAACACTTCACTGCCTAGAGTCTAGAGGCCCAATTATGTAACTGCTTCTGACTTGTCTGACATGAGGGAAAATGAGAATGCCACATGCACAGTTTGATCTAATTTCCCATCCTCTTTTCAATTCAGACTTTATTTGGCCCATGTTTAGACAAAGGCTCCTTGGACAAAAGGAAGATTTAGTGAGGAGGAGAGAACTGAAGCTTTTAATTACTTGCACGTAATCATAAGTACACGCACTGTTTAAACCTGCATTAAAGGTAGGGGAGAAGTGTTAATCTGTGTCCAGCTGCTTTGATATCTTTGCGTGCCTAGCGTGAGGATGGAGCCAGTCACGGGAGCCAGCTCAAGCTCCCATTTTTTAATGGACATATCCCAGCTCGTTCACCAGTGCCCTTTCACGCTCACTAACAAAACACAGCAACAAAGGGTGTGAAGACAAGGGGAATGAATTCACATGTGGGAGAACTCCTTTCTTCTAGAAGTATGTGTTTTGGAGAGTTTTTTTGTGGAAATACGAGAATTCTCTTTTTCCCTGTACTTGAGTATTTCCCCTATTCACGTGGCTGCTCCCAGTAGTGGAGCTGAGAATGAACATAGTTAATTCTCTTTTTAGAGAGCCTGAACAGGATGAAGACAAGGAAGTGAACTTGGAAGATGGAGACCACATACTTGAAACCTCAAAGGAAAAAAAAAGTGTTAAAAATTCTTGCAAGCTAACAAACAAGTCTACTTCAGGTACATATTTAAACGGATTCCGTATCTGGAAAATAGAGGTTAGAGTAATACTAAGAAATAACATTTGTTGG